GAGCCAAGGACTGTAATTTTAGGCTTGGTGCCTATGGCTCAAGTGGCTAAGGCACCAGCCACATACATATAAGGTGGTGGGCTCAAATCCAACCCGGGCCCGCCAAACAACAATGATGGCTGCAACCAAAACAAAGCCGGGCGTTATGGTGGGCGCCTGTGGTCCCAGCTACTTGGGAGGCAGAGGCAGGAGATTCACTTGAGCCCAGGAGTTGGAGGTTTCCTGTGAGCTGTGATGCCACGGCACTCTACCCAGAGGTCAGCTTGAGGCTCTGTCTCAAAAGAAAAAAAAAAAGAATGGAGTTGCCGGCTCAGTGTCTGTGGCTCAAGAGGCTAAGGTGCCAGCCACATACACCTGAGCTGTTGGGTTCGAATCCAGCCCAGGCTTGCCAAACAACAATGACAGCTGCAACCAAAAAGAATGGTGCTGCCATTAACTGGGATAAGATTGCAGGTGTTAAGTTTTGGACATCTGAGATGTTTCAATTTAGTAAACACTGAAAGAATTTCCTGCATTGACTTACATTGTGCATTTACTTGAATTCTGTCACTGAATCCTTGCTATTTAGAAACAACGTCTTTTAGGGCGTGGTGGCTCATGCCCATAATCCTATCACTTTAGGAAGCTAAGGCAGGTGAACTGCCTGAGTAACAGTGAGATCTTATCTCTAAAAAAATAGCCAGGCATAATGGTGGGTATCTATAGTCCCAAGTACTTGGGAGGCTGAAGGAAGAAGATCGCTTGAGTTCAAGAATTTGAGGTTGTTGTGAGCTATGACACCACAGCACTCTACCAAGGGTGACAAGAAAATGAAAAAACATCTTTCAATCAAGTTTTTTTTCTCCAGACAGTTTTAGTATGTTGCCCTTGGTAGAGTGCTGTGGCATCACAGCTCACAGCAACCTCAAACTCTTGGCCTTAAGTGATACTCTTGCCTCAGTCTCCCAAGTAGCTGGGATTACAGGCACCCACCACAACTTCTGGCTATCTTTTTTGTTTAAGTTGTCAGTGTTGTTTAGCTGGCCCCGGGCGGAGTTCACACCTGCTACCCTCGGTGTACGTGGCTGATGCTGTAACCACTGTGCTACAGGCACTGAGCTAAACTTTTAAAAGTTAGAACTGTAATTGCTACACATTTTATTTTATTTTTGAGACAGAGTCTCACTTTGTCCCCCTGGTTAGAGTGCCACAGCATCATAGCTTACAGCAACCTCAAACTCCTGGGCTTAAGTGATCCTCAAGCCTTAGCCTCCTGAGTTGCTGGGACTACAGATACCCACCACAATTCCTAACTAGTTTTTAGTAGAGACAAGGTCTCACTCTTGCTCAGGCTGGTCTTGAACTCCTGAGCTCAAGCAATCCACCCTCCTGGGCCTCCCAGAGTGCTGGGATTACAAGTATGAGCCACTGTGCCTGGCCAGAAATGTAACTGGTATAAAATTTAATGTGACTGAATGATGCAAGCAAATAATCTAGTAGCACTAAGGCCCAATCACTTTTGGCCAAATACAAATATAAAATTGAATGCCAGAAAAAAATTGTAACACACTACTTATGCTTAGGGTATTTTAAATGCTACTTACATACAATGTCATATTTAGCAGAACTTACTTGTTATCATGCATGTGGTATAAAGTCGAAAGAAATGTAATTTTGCAAAAACAAAAGCAAAACATGTATATCACTGCCTCATAAGAACGTAGTAACATTGCCCTTCTGTTCATTTCTTCACTCTTAACTGATAGTTAAAAATTCAGACTTTAGGCTTGGCGCCTGTGGCTCAAGTGGCTAAGGCGCCAGCCACATACACCTATGGTGGTGGGTTTGCTGTGAGCTGTAACACCATAGCACTCTACTGAGGGCCACATAGTGAGACTCTCAAAAAAAAAAATTCAGACTTTATCATACTAAATAGCTTAAAACTATTTGGTTTCCCACTGCTGGAAAAAAAAAAAGTTCATTATTTCTTAATATAATATACAAGGCCCTCCATGAGCCAGTCACTAGCTTTTTTCCAGCTTGATTTTCTTTTCTTTTCTTTTTTTTTTTTTTGAGACAGAGTTCCATTTTTTTTTGCCCCTAATAGAGTGCTGTAGCATCACAGCTCACAGCAACCTCCAGCTCTTGGGCTTAGGCGATTCTCTTGCCTCAGTCTCTCAAGTAGCTGGGACCATAGGCGCCTGCCAAAATGCTCAGCTATTTTTTGTTGTTGCAGTTTACCTGGGGCCGGCACCCTTCTCACTGAGCCACAGGCGCTGCCCCCACCTTGATTTTCTATTACCTCTTCACACTCATCTTATGCTTTATTTTAGTCCAAGTATTTCCAAAATGTATGCCAGGGACACCAGTTCGAAATTTAGCATAGAAAAGGGCCCCCATAGTCAAATACATTTTGCAAATTACTGCTGAATACATATTACCCTTAGAGACTTAGAATTAGCCTATTATGGACACTCTGAAATCTGAAACGCAGCATATTCCATATATATTTGACCACACAATCATTTTGGTTTAACACTTATAAAATACCCAGAACATATTTTTAAAAAGCTTTTCCCATAATACTAAATGACTGAATCACTTGGTACCAGCCATTCTTTTTCAGAGTTCTGTACTCCTTTCCTCTAGCTTACTTGGTGAAAAATTTTCAAATCTTTTTTTTTTAGAGACAGAGTCTTATTTTATCACCTTTGGTAGAATGCTGTGCCGTCACAGCTCACAGCAACCTCCAGCTCTTGGGCTTAGGTGATTCTCTTGCCTCAGCCTCCCAAGTAGCTGGGACTACAGGTGCCTGCCACAACACCTGGCTATTTTTTGTTGCAGCTTCATTGTTGTCTAGCTGGCTCGGGCAGGGTTTGAACCCACCACCCTTGGTGTATGTGGCTTGTGCCGTAACCACTGTGCTATGGGCACCAAGCTTACTTAAAACAAAATTTTTTTTGTTTTTTTTTTTGCAGTTTTCGGCTGGGGCTGGGTTTGAACCCACCACCTCCAGCATATGGGGCCGCTGCCCTACTCCTTTGAGCCACAGACACCATCGTATTTTTAAAATTTTCAATACTTCTTTTTCCCACCTCAGACTTACATACATCTTAAAGATGTATAATCTTTTCAAACATAACTTACATTTGCATGACTAGTGGTTTATTTTGCCTGTTCTCAGATGAGAACACCATATTTCAACTAATGAAATCTCTCCCAATTAGGTTAACCTTTAGCTAGAAAAAAACATTTTCCCTTCAGTGTGACTTTCACAGATGAAACTTTCCCATGTTATTCAATAGTCCATACTCGGAATCTTCCTAAAGAAAGGCAACAATGAGCAGCACAGATATTCAAAAGTTCTATTTATCAACACCTCAAATGTGGAGTTTCTAAATTCTAAAACAATAAAATCCCAGAACACCATAATATTTACAACTCATTTTTGCCTTTTCTGAGCTCCCATGTCACTTCGGTCAAGACTCTTACTATTGCACTTTCCTATACTGTCTACATTCATTGCTTGTCTATCTCCCTTGGCAAGAATATGAACTCGAGGAAAATGAAGATTCACCTACAGTGACTATTAATTCAAAAGCTACTGAATGAAACTATGTTTTTTCTGGCTTGTTCAATGAATAAAAAGTTCCAAAAGGACTCACCTAAGCCAGGGTAAGATCTAGTGGTGGTATAACAAAAAAAAAAAGGCTAGACACAATCATAAAATTTAAATCTGTTATCTGTCGTGATCCTGTTTTAGTCCCTCATATGTAAAATGAGATCATCTGCCTACCTTATTCAATTTGACAAGACTCAAAAAGATTATTCAGTCAGTTAAAAAGCCAATATAGACCAGGCATGGTGGCTCACACCTGTCAGCCTACCATTTTGGGACGATGAGGAGGGAGGACCACTTGAGGCCAGGAGTTCAAGACCAGCCTGGGAATAGTGAGACCACGCCTTTACAAAAAAATAGAAAAACTAGCCGGGTGCAGCAGCCTGTAGGCTCAGCTACTGAGGGAAGAGGATTACTTGGAGTTTAAAGTTGCCATGAGCTACGGTAACCCCACTCTGGTCCCAGCAACAGAGTGAAAACATGTCTATGAGGGGGGAAAAGCCAGTATTTTGTATTAATATGAGGTTGTTAAAAATTTTTTTTTTTTTTGAGATAGAGTCTCAACTGTCTCCCTGGGTAGTGTGCTGTGGCACCATAGCTCATAGCAACCTCCAACTCTTGGGCTCAAGCAATCCTCTCGCCTGTTTTTTCTATTTTTAGTATAGATAGGATCTCGTTTTTTGCTCAGGCTGGTCTCCAAATAGTAGCTCAAGCTATCTACCCCCTCGGGCCTCCCAGAGTGCTAGGATTACAGGTGTGAGCCACTAGGCCTGGCAAGTTGTTAATTTATGCTTGATCCATTGAAGCAAACTGAAGCATAATGAATATATATCTTCAATGATCTTGGCATGTATAATCCAGTATCTAGCCATAAATCTTGATTAATCACGTTTTATACAAAGCCTCAAGAAGTCCATAAGTCACAACCAAAAGATGGTTCCAGCTCAAAGTCATAGCCTGTAGGTTCTGTGATTAAGACTGATTAATATAGCACATCTATATTTTCACCTAATTCCATGAAGAGGGGCAGGTTTCTGGGACTTTACTTTTAGAATCCAAGAACAAGTTCTGTACACCGAACAATTTTTTATTTTTTACAGTAAGATGCCGACATAGTTAACATTCCATTCAAGTATGTCAACATAAACATATGCCAAGACTTAGCTTTGATGTGAAATACCATGCACTGGTTCACACATCGTTTACATACTGGCTTCCCCATATGATCCAATGGCAGATCCTCCTGAAAGGCAGCCAATTTAGTTTTCACTGATAAAGCTTTACGTTCATCTGATTAATCGCTCGATAGAATACACCCGGCAAAAAAGATCCCCTTATTCCTAGCCTACTTTTCCATGTCTTTACAAACATGACTATCTTTTTGTTTTCTTAAGTTTTTATTTATTAATTTTTTTTGCAGTTTTTGGCCAGGGCTGGGTTTGAACCTGCAACCTCCGGCATATGGGGCCGGCGCCCTACTCCTTTGAGCCACAGGCACTGCCCACAAACATGACTTTCAAATACAAAATTCCCCGGCAGTATTTCCAAACAACATGTTTCTCGTATGTTTTGGAGCCAGCTATCAAATCAACTCTCTTAAAAAAACACGAAAACAATTTGAGGTTAACCTAACAGACAAGCGCCACTTGATGTGAAACACTGTTACCTAAGCAAGTGCGGTAACTGACACAACCTGAGTCCGAGTTACTCTGAAGACAGCCCCTCTGTGGATGGCATACATTTCTCTCTGCAGTCATTTCAGCTTCCTAGAATACCTCAATGGTATAGAGACACAGGGCCCACCCTTTTCCAGGAGCAGCTGGTAAAGAAGAAATCCGCGAAGACCATAAAGGTTTGGGGAGCGGAGGCCCCAGGGGTGGAAGGGTCCGCCGAACCCGAGTTTTTCTGAGAACTTGGATCCCTGTGGGGCTCCTCAAGCTTCTCAACGAGCAAGCCCCGGAAAGGACAGTAGTCTAACCTGAGAGGCCGCGAGCGTTTGCTACAGCAGGAACCAGTTTGGGAGCTGAGAGCAGCCAAAGCATGACCAGCCAGCACACGCGTCAGAATAAAAAAAGACAGAAGCCACGAAAACAGCACCCAAGAAGCCGAGTCGCCAGGAAACCTGGCCAATCGCTCCGCCCCTTCCGGCGGGCGTCGCTCCTGGGCTTTCCTACTGCAGTGGCGCACAATGCTGACGTCACGCCGGGAGCTTTGGCGGCCCGTCAGGCCCGCTGGCTTTTTTCTCGTCGGGCGTTGTGCTCCTTTTAGTACTTATTCACGGAATATCCGATTGTACATGGCTTCCTGGAGGGCCTGTTATCTCCTGCCTCCTTAAAAGCGCCCATGCAAATGTTTGGCTCATTCAGGGAACTGGTTCGAGTTGATGTAAAAATGTGTGCGTAGAGAGGCAGGCAAGAGCACGAACAGCCAAGCTTCCAGAAGGTTCTAGGGACTGCGCAGCGGCAGAGGCACAGGGAGCAGAAATGAGCGAGCGAAGGACCCCAGGTCACGAGACCGTTGGGTGGTGGGAGGAGCCAGTGGCTGGGGAGGTTCTAGTCTGTTCTTCCTCGCTGCAGCCGCCCCCTTCTACGCGATCGCGCTGAGCTACTAGTGTCCCGGCCTGGAATCGGGCTGCTGCGTCCTCAGCCGCGTCGTCTGCCTCCTGACCATGGACCCCCGCAAAGTGAACGAGCTTCGGGCCTTCGTGAAATTGTGTAAGGAGGACCCGAGCGTTCTGCACAGCGAGGACATGCGCTTCTTGAGGGAGTGGGTGGAGAGGTGAGACCCGGGCCTGAGGACCGTTGGGGGCGAGGAGCAGGATGGTCGGAGGAGGAGCTGGGCGGGAGCTGGCTCTGGGTGGCTGAGAGCGGGTCGGGCCGGACAGGGACCCGGAAGGGGTCGCCGCCCCTTCGTGGCTCACTCCCGGGCTAAGGAACCTCGATATTACCGGGGCGGGGATGCAGAGGACAGAACTGAGATTTCCAGGGGTGTATCTTGAGCGAAATATTAATACAGATGATTGCGAATACTTGGCAATTAAAGACGTGAGAAGAATCAACTGCGAAACTCCGCTTTGTGTCAGTGGTTTTTCTTTAAATCTCAGGTGTCCTGCTTAGGTCGTATTGACAAATAGCAGCTTCTTGATACGCTATCCATTTTAATGGTATTAGAGTAATGACTAATAATTTATAATAAATTAACTGTGTTTGATTATCTTACGGCGATTCTAACTGCGTAGGCTCCATTATTTTGGGAATCACTGAACCTGTCTTAGTGGCATTGCTATCATTACAATTTGTGAAAAATGATTTTTCAAGGCCTGGCATTTTTCCAGGGTGTATTCTAGTTATCGTTAGCTCCAGAGTATTTCGCTACGTGCAAGGAATTTATTAAACAGGCGTTGTGCCAGCTGCTGGGAAACATTGTAGTGCTGTCTATTTAGGGATACTGACGAGTAAATGTAAAAACTGGTTTAGTATTTGCAGTATAATAGAGATTTTGCTGAGCCTAAAATATTTTTTATGTATTCTACGTATTGGAGGGGCACCTAAGGGAGAAAAGCTAAGAGGGAAATCTTCCCTGAGATGATTTTTTAAAAATCAGTACTGTTGGGGAGCTTGAAAGAAAGATGACTTACGGCTTGAGCTTAACGGAGATGAAAGCGATTGTGCAAAGTATTGCGACTTTATAGAGATACTACTGGAAACATTCATCAGTTTATTTTAGTAATATTATGTGGGGTAGATTAAATCATGATCATCAAATATTTGAAATAATGTTTTTATTTATTTTCTTGCGAAAGCGTATTTCTTACAAAAACCTTATTCTGAAGAAAAGCTTATGTGCAAATCTTAACCTTATATATTATAAGTATACTTCCTTTTCTTGAAGTTTTTCATTTTTTTTCCCTCTTGGGTTTTCTAGCTGCTGTTAAGGTTGTTATTCACTGTTATGTACGTGAAGTTCTGAGACTATGTAAAATTACTATTATTAACTTTATTGTTGTAAAGTATCCTATCTTACAAACTCCTTACTTCTCAACAGAAAAGCCTGCAAGTTGGTATTAGGTAAATCAGGATTAGGAATTGAGAGCTAGAATTTAGTTGTTTCTCTATTGAATAACTTAATTCAAAAGCCTCTGTAGTATTTGTATCAGACCAGATATGGTGGTATGGGCCTGTAGGCCCAACTACTCCAGAGGCTAAGATAAGAGGACCACTTGAGCTTTGTAGTTCAAATCCAGCTGGGGCAGAGGAAGGACTATATATGTATGTTCTTGGGCAGAGCAAGGAAAATATGTGTATTTTGAGACAGAGCCTCAGGCTGTTGCCCTGGGTAGAGTGCTGGGGCATCACAGCTTACAGCAACCTCCAACTCCTAGACTTAAGCTATTTTCCTGTCTCAGCCTCCCAAGGAGCTGGGACTACAGGTGCCTGCTACAGCGCCCGGCCGTTTTTTTGGGGGGGGGTTGTAGTTGTTGTTTTGCAGGCCCTGGCTGGATTTGAACCCACCAGCTCTGGTGTATGTGGCTGGCGCTACAGGCGCTGACCCTAAAATATTTTTTAAAGCAAAAAATAAAGTTTATATGTTTTTATTCTCTTACCTATATTTGTTATAGGAAAGATTTACAATTCATAAATTGTTTCTAAAATTTCAGATAGGGCAGCCATATGCCATAGGAAAGGTGAAAGTTGGACTAATTGGGTACAGTATGCTTGTTCCATTCCTACTGAAGAGGACACTGAAGGAAAAATTGAAAAAAAAAAAAAAAGAAACTTAGTAACTTGTGCTGTAGTGTGATTATGGTTGTGTAGAGAATTCCAATTTTTTGTCTTTTTTTTTTTTTGAGACGGAGCCTCAAGCTATCCCCCTGGGTAGAGTGCCATGGCATCACGCTCACAGCAACCTCCAACTCCTGGGCT